TCGTACAATATTAATTTTCTGTCAGCATTTTCAGATAAAGGTGCAAAAAGTTTCAGAAGAGGCATATAACTATAAAAATCATACGTTGAGATAGAGCCCCTTATTACTATCAGAACAGAAAACAGAACGAACAGAACAATATATCATACATGTGTAATATATATATCATATATGTTTTTTGAAGTCACGCGTGTCCTAATCAAAGCGAGAACCTGTTTCAAGATTTCAAAACTAATGAATCAGCATACACATTATAGTGCTGTCATAAATAGTTACTGCCATACTCCCTGAAAATTCAGGAGTTTTGCCGAATATGATGGTGATTTTCAAGACTTTTCAGGACCAATCTCACCCTTGCGCACACAGCTTGATTTCAGAATTTGTTACAAAAAGCATAAATATTCAGTCACACAAACGTTATTATTGTAAGATTTAACCCTGATCCGTCCACTTGGGGTCCGTACAGACCCCAGACGAAAATGAGTGTATGTCTTGCGCTCTATCAGATAAATAATGAGTGAATGCAATCAGTTCATACTGATAGTACACCCTATTGTCGTTCAGTGGAATATAAAGTGAAGCAGTAAAATCTAACCGTTGTATTCAGGCAGTATTCAAATGAAACCGGTAGAATTTGGACATAATAGGTGGTCGGATCAGGGTTAAGTAAATATACAACTTATCGAGATAAAAATAATTCATTATAAAATCTTTCCTATTAGACTTTTCACTGTTGATTGCAATATTTTTACAAACAAACATAAACACTTAAAAACCACAGATGAGCATGTGGTAATGTCCGAATGATAAAAGCCGTCAAAACAGTAGTGCTCTTTTCATAATATGGGAAGGAAAGGTACCGTATAACTTTATCAAAAATCAGATGTTATAGTCCATGCTTCAATAGTACGTCTCACGATATCAGTGCAAAATGGAAAAATTACTCAAAATCAACCAATCCCAGCGAGTTGTAAGTCCCTGCAAAAGATTTGAACAAGTATCTGATGATTTTTCTTTCGACAGCCTAGACTGTCAACGCCTTTCAAGCTGAGAATATGTTGACAGTACGAATCTTGACCAAAAAAATCTCACCGATGGCTGGTAGTGGCGCTACCAGCTTCTCTGTTAATATTTGATTGATATGTGAGCACACTATTAAGCACTTGAAAAGAATACTTTAGTTCAACATAAAACTGCATATAGAAAAGAATGAAAGGAAAAGTCCCTCTCTTTCATAATTTCTATTGGATTAGTATTTCAGTTGGCGAATCAAACTGTTTTTCTATTTATTTTTACATCGCTGCAACAACGTGATTATTGTAATTAGAGGTGGCACATTACTATTACTTTTACGAGTAATTCAAATATTGTATATATTCCTATTATCAGTAACAGTAATACTTAAAGTTTTCAGCTTTACTGTTGCTGGTAATAGAAATATATACAATATTTGGATTACCCGTAAAAGTAATAGTAATGTGCTTCCCCTAATTACAATAAACTTCAAATGATCCAACGGTCAACAAAAAAAAGGGCTGCCTTTTGTGATTCTTCTCTTTATCTTGCCCCAAAAAATCGACGTAATTCGTAGTAACCGCATCCCTTGATCGTTAGATTAAAATATTTCTCGCAGAAAATCATAAACAATATTACTTTAGTTTTGATAAATAGAACAAACGTCACAAAAATGAATTCACTTTTGAATTAAACACAAAACTTGAAGTAAGAATCTGTGCTGAAAATGCTTCATGTACGGCGTATTATTCGGAAGGGGTAAATTTCTTGTGTCACTTTAATTAGAAAAAACTTGTATATTTTTTTGTACAGGAAAGCGCCGTTTAGATATCTATCTCTTTGTTTTTCAGATAAACTATAGACATTTAAAGCAATAACAGCATGTTTCGATCAGTAATGTTCAGTTGTCTTTTTAAACAACAGCATCTATCTCACAACAAAAATCTATTTAACTCAAGGTGTCATTACTCTTTATTCGCTAAAAAACAATTACAATCGACTGCCAATGAAACGAATGACGATGTAACCACAGTAGACAAAGAAAAAATTAAATCATTAGGTAAATATTGAAAAAGTTAATCTGCCGGAAACGATCCGTTCCATTGGGTGATATCCAATTGGAACATTACATAGAAGAGAATGAATAAACTTATTACAAAATGATGTCTGTTTTTAAACGTAGATAAACAAGTCGCGTTTCTAGGCCGACGGAGTAAGAAGCCAATTCAACAGTCAATTTATGCCTATAAAAAGATAAATAATACATATTATGATTGGATGTTTGCTGTCAACAAAGTTGTTATACCAAGAGATGATTTATATCGTCCATTGATTTTACGTAATGTTGTCAAACAAATATTACGTTATATGTCCGATAGTTATTTTGATTTTGAGCAATGGTTAACATTTCGTGATTATTTAGTTAAAAAAGATATTGGTATATCACGTTTATTCGATGGTGTATTTTTACATGAATGTGTTGATCATCAACGATATTTAATGGCACTCTCCTATATTGATTTTTTACGTAAAGAAGATATCGAGCTTACACCTACCGGTTTGGCCATGTTGCTATTATTAGCACGACAAATGGATATTAAATCACAATATGCGGATATAAAAATAAGTGAAGATGAACTATTGAAAGCTTATGATGAATTTATTAAAATTCAACCCATACCCGATTCTCTGTTAACATTACCGATTATATCCGGTCTAACATTAACTAGAAAATGGAAAGAATCCATTAAACATTTGCCAATATTAGAAAATGATTTAGAATCAATGCAAACAGCACTCGGTTATATCTTGACAGCCGCTGCTAAATATCATGATTATAACTTTTTTTTTCAATTAATTGATAATGTATCTCAAACAGAAGAAATTCGAATTCGAAAAAGACGTGATAGAACGTTGAACTATCATGACAAATCAAATGAATCAATAAAAACAACAATGACAAAAAATAAAAAAGGGATACGAACACCATTTCTCACACATATGCCATTGAAGATGTTGAAAGAAAGTGATTATTATCTCATATCAAAAACATCGCAAGCATACGAAACATTTACAAATTATTTGACTGGTGATAAACAAATGCAGATTAATTCATTAAAAAAACTATTAGAAAAATCACAACACAACGGTTATATTCCTCCGTTAGGGTTCGTTCAGGCATTAGAAAAAAAATTGAAAGAGTACGTATACAACAGAATACATAAGTTACCTGTATTTTTACTTTATTTTTTTTTAGAATCGATCAAGACAAATATCGTTGTGACCATATTTATTTCGCACCAAAGTAAATTTCTAATTGTTTTTTTTTGTCAAAGAAGTTCAATTTAAATATTTTTTATTTTAGTGGTGTATCTACGAATAATCAATCTTGTTTGCCGTCGATTGAACTGAATGAAGATGAAAGTCAATTACTTCACAGATATGTTCAAGACAACTTTGTCGATCTAATACGTAAAAATTGTCCATCGGTGAGAGTTTATTCTTGCCTGTATACCCGCCAAAAGGTTATAAGTTTTTATTTTTAGATGACTAACGATATTAACAAATTAGAGAATATTCATCAATGTTTAATAGAGAAGAAAGTCGATGTCATATTTGATTGTGTACATTATCCATTATTAGAATTAGATTGGAGTAATCGATACCCCTTGTATGTAAGAAATATATGATTACACAGTATTATTCTCTCACAATTAAAAGCGATTGTTTTTAAACTATTCTGCTTAGGTCAAACGTATATTACAACAAATAGTGCATGAAAAAGAGAAAACGTGTTTAGTGTTAGCAAAAGCTCATATTGAAGATTATATTAATCAATTAGATATACAAAATACGCATGTCATTCGAGCTCATTATGAGTAAGATCAGTAAGTAAACTATATCTACAGACATTGTCAAAATTATTGAATATTTAGAACAGGACACAGTGCATTACCAATATTAGTGGCGTTATTCAATGGTCCACAAACATTATTAGCAAGTGCAATTGATCAACGTCCATTCAAAAGCATATTGGAAATAAAACATGTAGCTTTACTTGATCAATGGATACAAACTCATCAGTTAGTAGCCATTGTAAAACCAGATCTTGTCTATTTACAGGTAATAATTGTTTTTTTAAAAATTCTGATTCTAGTCGAGTTCTTCATAATCCAAATACCACTCCTGGATGAAATTGACCTTGTAATTGTTTTATATTTTTGATGTGCTTATTTAGGCGCCGTGTGTGTACTCAACACAAGTTCATATGCAAGAAAAACAGTGGCTTATACCTTATTACGATGGTTCACCATTAGCTGATGCAGAAAAAGTAAACCGTTGGTTTCGTGTACAAATAACTTAAGAACTAAAAATTGTTGTTTGTTTTGCTTCTTGTTCGTTATTACTTATGATTACTTTTTCTTGTTATTTTTATAATAAAAAAAGAGCTGCTAATCAGAAAAAAACGGGTTTTAACTGAAGATTATGAGCAAAGAAAACTAGTTAACTAGTCAACTCATGGTAAAGGTTCTACTGCACTTTTCAGACTGTAGTATTTATTCACCATCTAACTGTTGACTGCAAAAAAAAACAATCATGGTATTACCGTCAAAATTCATGTATTCTTATTAAATTTGTTCATTTTGTGTTATCGACGAACCGTTTAAAAATAGCAGAATTATTAGATATAAAGCTAGAATTTTTAATAGATTTTTGGCATTCCGCAATACTTTTCATAGACATTTCTTGAATTCCTGTTGATTTTGGTGGTTTTAGCGATATGCGGTCTTGCGTGAATCGAATACGGTTTAATGAAAAAGTGTCATGTAGAGTTCGGAGACGTTTGATGTTGTACGGGAAGGTGTGAGCTGTACGGCTGAGATATTTGCAAAATACATTTCGAATAAATGGATGCTTGGTTTTGTTGATTTGTGTTAGCCATACACTAGACTTTCAGAACTTGCGATAAAATTTTTATGCACGTAAATCCTGACTGGAACCTCTTTCGGATGTTCAGAGCTTTTTTCAAATTTGTTCTAGTCGTTATCGAGCAGGAAAAAAAAAATAAAATTGTTTTTTAAATTTGTTTCTGTACTGTATTTTAGCTTGTTTGAAAAAAGATTTGAACAGCTGAAAGAATTTTTTGATCTGATGTGGTGTATAGAAAGGTTCTATAAAAACTTCTGAAACCAGGGTCTCTCAAAAACCCAAATTTCAGAAAACCAAGTCCCCGAGTTCAATCGAGAAATTCTTTGCAAGTAACTCCGTCGTACAGAGCAAACATTTCTAAACAAAATGAGACGTCTCCGAGCTCTGTGCCGCATTTTTTCATGGAACAGCATTCGATTTACGGAAGGTCCTAAGGGCGTATCTTTGCGGTGTGGGAGCTTCCGTAAATCGAATGCTGTTTCATGAAAAAATGCGGCACAGAGCTCGGAG